GGGTGTGGTGAAGGTTCGATGAGATTGTGCACACGTGTTCAGCACAGTGGCCTGGTGTATAATAAAAATTCAGTAAAAGCTGGCTACCATGACAGTCGTCATAACCACTCAAGGTAGTGGCCATGATGGTTGCCTCCCCAGTACCCGTCCCATCCTTCTGGCTTTGCATAACAGTTACGCAGTTTGGGTAGAATAACTCCCCCCCCCCCCACACACACACACACCAGCTCCACAGGTGGGATCTGACACTCCCAAGCATAGTTCTTGAACTTCAGCACGCATCAGGAAAACTTAGAGGGCTTGTTGAGTGCACACTGCCGGACCACACCCCCACCGTTCTTAATTCAGGTTCCGATCCCAAGAATTTGCATTTTTGGCAGATTCTCATGCTGTTGGCCCAAAGACCACACTTTGAGAAGCACTGGTCTGAGCCAATTAGGGTATCTTATTTCCTTTGCCTTACAACTGAGTCAGGGATGGGCACTCGGGTTTAAGATGGTCCAGTGTCCACAGGACAGCCGCACTCTCCCTCCCTGAATGTAAAGCAGGTGGCTGCAGAATAGTGCTGGTAGCCAACTTGCAATCGTGCAAGACTGTGCTCTTCTGAACGAAAGAGAAATCAACCTGAGGCTGGAAGTGATACACAGAAGACAGAAGGCCCAGGAGAATCATGGAGAAATAAAGTAGAGTCTTGGCTGAGTGGTGGCTGGACGCCTCAGATCCCTGGACTTTTTAGTTCCTGGAATGAGTAAGTTTCTTTCGTTGCTCAAGTCAACGTATGTTGAGTTTTCTGTTATTTGCAGCCGAAACCTTCAGCCCTGTGCTGGTGAGAACTGCATTGGTCTCCCCAGTATTCCATGCTGAGCCTGAGCCTGGCACTAAGTAGGTGCTCAGTAAGTAATGTGTCGATCCACGCAAAGACATCCGTTCTCTTCTCACAGCAGACCCGGCGATAACCTTAACCAGGCGGCCAGGGAGCAGTCCGGGAGCTGGTCTGGGTCCGCCTCTGCCTGGTCTCTGTCCTGCTATCCTTCTTCTGAGTGTCCCATTCCACCTCCCTTGAGCTGAACCGTGCCTGGCTTCTTTCAAGCCCTGATCACCACCACCTTAGGCTACTGCCTTGCAAACACAGAGTCCATTATCAGTAATGAGTCACCTGATTTCCACAGCAAATTTTACTTTCCTCCAATGAGCTTTGTAGAATGAGGCTGCCTGCTTCGCTGGTTAACGGGGTGAATGCATGACGTGTACCGTCACACTCTGTCCCTCCCCTAAGCTGGGCACTCACTCTCTCAGAGCTCTCTGTCAAATGTATATTTCTTCAGCCATAACTAGCTTTCTGTGTCTAGTGGTTAAAACTGAGTGGTTAAAACTCCCTTCAGTGGGTCCCTTGTATTAGTTTCCTAAGGCCGTCAGAACAAATGCCATGAACTTGTTGGCTTAAAACGACCGACATGTCCACTCACAGTTCTAGAGGCCAGAAGCCCAAAGGGAGTGTGGTCTGGAGGGCGCTGGGGGAGAATCCTTCCTTTCCCCTCCACCTTCTCGTGTTCCCTGGTGTTCCTTGTCCGGTGGCAGCATAACTGTCATCTCTGCCCACCTAGTGTCCACGTGGCCGTCTTCTCTGCGTGCCCTGTTGTATCTTCTGTGAGGACTCTCATTGGATTCAGGCCAAGTGTATTGCTAATCATCAGCGTGCTCTTTCAGGGACCAATTACCTCCTTTATTCAATCCATTCCCTGGTATTTTTTACACGCTGGCCATTCTGGTAGGGGGAGGGTGACAAATATTAAACGAGTAAACAAACAAACAAAATGTCGCCAGCTGTAATTAGTGCCGAGGAAGAGAAAGAAGCAAGAAAATGGGTGGGTGGCAGCATTTACATAGGATAAGTGCCAGGATGGCCTCTGTGAGAAGGTGACACTTAGCAGGGACCAGGAGGACAAGGGAGGTTGGGGAGGTCACCCCGGGGAAAGAGCACAAAGAAACAGGCTGGATGGGTTTTAGGAGGGACAGAAGGCCAGCATGTGTGAGGGGGAGGGGCAGGGTAGCAAGAGACAAGGCAGCAGGCAGGCCAGGCAGGGAGCATAGCTTGGCCTCAGTGCAATGGAAAAGCCCCATATGAACAAGGAAGTGAAGGCTTTGTTTTTGAAAATTACTCTACCTTAGGAGCTCCTGGGTGGCTCAGTCGGTTGGGCCTCTGGCTCCTGATTTTGGCTCAGGTCGTGCTCCCAGGGTAGTGGCGTCAAGGCCCGTGTTGGGCTCTGCCCTGAGCATGAAGCCCGCTTGGGATTCTCTGTCTCGCTCTCACTCTCTCAAAACAAAAACACTCTACACCTGTGTCATAGAATACTACTCAGCAGTGAAAAGGAACAAACTACTGATACACAGAGCAACATGAATGCATCTCAAGGGCATTATGCCGAGTGACAAAAGCCAATCTCAAAGGTGACATACTGCATGGTTCTATTTATATGACATCCTCAAAATGACAAAATTCTAGAGATGGAGAAGAGATTAGTGGTTGCCATGGCTTAGGGACAAGGTGAAGGGGAGAAGCCTGGGCAGGACCGAAGGGGGTATCATGGGGAAGATGTCCTTGGTGACGGGTCGGTTCTGTATTTTGATTGTGGTGTGGTTCCATGAGTCTAAACTCGTGATAAAGTTACATAGACTGACACCCACCCACCCACACATGCATACTCCACACACAGATAAGTGCAAATAAAACCAGTGAAATCCAAATAAGCTCTGTGGATTATATCCATATCAACTTCCTGGTACTGATTATACAATGGAGTCACAGAAGATGTTAACACTGGGGACAAACAGAGGCACATGAGACCTCTACTATTTTTACAACTTTCTATGAATCTATAATCACTTCAAATGGAAGGTTCTTTTATAGGTTCACTGTCTTTGTATGGGGAGGGCGTGTGGACGAGAAGATCCCAGCTATCCGTGGCGGAGACATCCGCCACCCATATGGCGGAGGTTGGACAGTGTGGGAGCAGTGGAGGTGCTGAGGCCTGGAGTGAGGAGAGAACTTTCCGGGCTGCTAATGGGATGGGTGGAGGCAAAAGCAAGCAAAGAGAGTCAAGAATGATGCTCAGGTCTTGGAACCTCAATGGTGGCGCGACCAATTACTAAAATGGTAGAGAATGGAGGAGGCCAAGGCTTGTGTGGGTGAAATCTTTCTTTTTTGGCCATTATAAAAAGGTCATTTAAAGAAAAATGCTTAAGATATACATACACAGTTTAATGAATTATTCCAACATATTGGATGCATGTGAACATCTACTCAGATCAAGAAATAGAACCGGGTGAATCACCCAGTCCTCCAAGGCTCTTCCTGATCACAAATATCCCTCCCCACAGAGGTAACTGATAACCTGATTTAGCATACTGCCTCCCTGACTTTCTTTCTAGTTTATCCCCCAAGTACGCATCGGCCATGGTCAGTTTGACATGGCGTGAGACATCCAAGTGAACGTCCGAATTCAGACTTCTTAAGTTCCCTCCGACACCTTCCGCAGCTTTTGAATATAGTCAGTTCTTCACATTCTTTAAAGCCAATCCCTCCTTGAGGCCGGAAGGAGAGACAGCTGTAACACCATTATGTACACTTATGTGCAAATATTACAAATATTTGAAAAATATTTTAGCCGTCTTCTTGCTGCAAAGATGTCCTCGGCTTCATTTGACCACTTGTGAAGTCTGAAATATCAAGTTTATTTCCCTACATATTTCTGGAAAAGTAACTTGAACATAAGTCAATCCATCAGCGGTGCCCAGAACATCTATTTCTGCAGAAGTGTATGTCCTTCTAGTTCTTAGGACCGGGAGATGTGAACAGCTGAAATGGAATGCTGTTTCTACGCTGACCGCCCTGGGACAGCCACCTCCAGTTCCGAGGGCCTTGATCTTATTAAAATGACAAGGCCCACCCATGTGGCCAAATGAAGGGCTCCATCTAGGGAGGGCATTTACACAGATACTGCCACTAACAGCCTTAGAGATAGGATTGTTGGGCTGGGAAGAGTCACAAAGGCCAGGCCCCCTACTGTTAACTCAGAGGACACCGATTGGCCAAAAAGGCAGAGCAGAGCCTGTCTGGCTGCAGAACAGGGTGGGGAGTCATCTTGCAATTAGGAGGCAACTCCTTTAAAACTTCCTTCAAACCCTGCCTTAGGCAAACCCGACCTCGAAGTGAGGCCCTCCCCTAAGTGCTGCTGGTGATCCTTTTTCTCACAGTGCTCTGACCCACTCACCGCCACTGCTGTTTACTTTCCTGCAGGTTCCTGTAACACACAAAGACCTCATGCACAGATTTCTACGTGCCCGCGTATCGAAGATGCCAGGCGGACCTAAGACATCGCTGTTTGATGTCCGTTTGGTACATTTTGTGGGATCTGAGCGATTTAGGGACAGTTTTCTGGACCAAGGGATTTGCTGCTCTTCATCCTCCTTTCCTGTCACCTTGAGTGTGGAGGAACTTGGAGGCTCATGGCCAGTGGCAGGCACATAGGCCTCTCGATCTAACAAAGACGTGGATAAGGGGCGCCTGGGTGGCTCAGTTAGTGTAGCCTCTGACTTCGTTTCAGGGTTGATCTCAGGGCTCATGATCTCCGGTTCATGAGTTCGAGCCCCACATTGGGCTCTGGGCTTCAGATCCTCTGTCTCCCTGTCTCTCTGCCCTTCCTCCGCTTGTGCTCGATCTCTCTCTCAAAAATAAATAAAACATTTTTAAAACGATGTTCAAAGAACTGGCTGAGAGTGCAGTGGGTACTGATGACAGTACTAAAGGGGGAGCTCCCGTTAGCAAGCCCATCCTACAGATGAAGACACTGAGGCTCAGACAGTTAAGGAACTTGCCCTAAATCACAGAGGTAATGAAGTGCCACACTCAGTGTCAAACGCAGTTGACCTCACTCCGTTTTGCGTCCTCCAACACCACTATTGAATTGAATGCAGTTACGGGGTTCTGCTGGCCCGGGTCAATGACCAGCTCTGTGCTGGTTCAGGGCAACGCTCCCCGCTGGTTGGTCAGGAGCCAGCATAGCCCAGCGGTGAGGCACATCAGCAACACCGCCGATGGTGGTACCCATGCCAGTAGGGACATACCACTTAATGAATTTTATGTGTCCAGTCGAAAACAATGGGTAATGCCCAGTGGACGCTGATCCTCACAGGAGATATCAATAGGAAAATGCCCTGTTGCTTCTCTGGGAAATATCCTGCGCGACATTTTTCCTGTCTGACGCTTTACAGGATCACAGCAGACACCTGTGAGCATTCATTCCGAGCCAGAAACTGCTCTAAGAATCCGCCTGCTTGTCCATTTAATCCTCACGGTACTCTCACAGGACAACCAGCAACCATTATCCTCGCAAGGTCAAGTCACTGTCCAAGATCACACAACGGTAACAGAGGCAGGATGTAACCTCAGCCGGTTGGGTCTCGACCACTGTGCTGTACTACTTACTGCCTGAGAAAAGTGTCTTTTTTTTTTATTTTTATTTTTTTACATTTATTCATTTTTGAGAGACAGAGAGAGAGCACACGCGGGGAAGGGGCAGAGAGAGAGGGAGACACAGAATCCGAAGCAGCCTCCACGTTCTGAGCTGTCTGCACGGGGCCCTGATGCGGGGCTCGAACTCACAAACCGCGAGATCATGACCTGAGCCGAAGTTGGACGCCCAACTGACTGAGCCACCCAAGCGCCCCACGAGAAAAGTGTCTTTGTTCTACATGTGCCATCTTACAGATCATCAGCTGCAACAGAAACCATTATTACCTTATTTTTCTTATTTTTCTCATTTTTACTGACAGCATTATGTCCAGTGGGTGAGTCAGATTTGATATGAAATCACAACTCTTATGGTCCCCAAATTCCCTTGACTTGCATTTAAAATTAAGGTGTTCATTGATGAACCACAATACAAGGGCTGTTTATAGTCAGTTTTAACACTTCCCATAAATAGGTAACAAAACTCACTTGAAATGTTTTTAAAATTTTAATATTTAGAGGCACCTGACTGCTTCAGTTGGTGGAGCGTGTGACCCTTCACCTCGGGGTTGTGAGTTTGGAAGGCAGCTATGCTCACGACTATGCCACCAAAGCCAGCTCGGGGTTGTGAGTTTGAGCCCCGTGTTGGGTATAGAGATTACTTCAAAAATTTTAAAAATAAATAAAATTTTCAATATTTAAAGCAACTGTTACTGCCTACCCTCCACATTTCTTTATTATTATTATTATTATTATTATTATTAT